CCCTCATGTATCCTTTGCTCATCAACTCCTTCACTTGTTTTTGAAGTTCCTTAGTTTCCTCGGGATTACTTCGATAAGCCGATCGATTTGGAATGACAGCTCCGGGTATGAAGTCGATTTGATGTTCAATGCCTCGAATAGGCAGCAATCCACTTGGTGCATCCTCCGAAAATACATCGTCGAATTCTTGCAACAAAGATTTAGCCAAACTAGGAAGGGGTGGGTTAGTTTCCTCAAAATTGAGGAGTAATTCCTTATAAACGAACAAGATCATCTCTTTTCTCTCAATTACCGCCCTCCTCAAATCACTCTCTTTTGCAAAGAAATTCACTCGCGTTTTCTCTCTTCTCTCGGGGCACTCTCTTTCTTTTCTCTCTTGTGATTGCTCTCTCTTTTTCTCTCTAATGACTATCTCAACATTTTCTCTCTTTTTATCCAACTCACTATTTGCTCTCATTTTTTCTAACTCTTTTGCTCTCCTCTCTTCCTCACTTCTCAATTTTAATTGGTCCTCATAGACTTGCGCTGGTGTTAATGGCACAAGAGTAATGGTCCTTCCATCCTTAATGAAACTATATCAATTTTTGTACACATCATGCATAGCTTTCCTATCGTATTGTTATGGTCGTCCTAATAAAATATGTCCCGCTTGCATTGGCATCATATCACACACTAACTCGTCCTTATAACTCCCAATTGACAAATTAAGTAACACCCTTCGATTCACCCTCACCTCGCCACTCTCATTCAACCATTGTAATTTATAAGATCTTGGGTGTCTCAACAATTTTAAACCTAATTTTTCTACAAGAGATACGCTAGCTACATTAGTGAAACTACCACCATCAATTATTACACTACATACCGTATTGTTGACGTGGCATCGAGTGTGGAAAATGTTCTCCTGTTGCAACTCCAAATCATCCGCTTTGACGTGAGTAGTGAGAGCTCACCTTGTGACTAGTAGATCCCCAACCGGCCTTCAACCTTTTCTTCTTCACTAACACCCTCTAACGCCGGCATGTCATCAAACTCGCCATCACTATCACTCACAATCTCTCCATTATCCCGCAACACTATCGCCCGTTTGTTTGGGCATTGAGAAGCAATATGCCCCGTTCCGAAACACCTATAACATTTGATGTCCCGATTATGCGACAGTTGTGCCTCCAATTTTGATATTGGTTTGCTAGCATTTTCATCCTTGCCCTTTTGCCAATCATTTTTATCTTTAGGTGCATCCCCATTTTTGTTGTTGTCATCCCACTTCGATTTTCATGTTGGATTAGGAGTTGAAGTACCTAACGGTTGCCTAGACGTCCCCTTCCTCTTCAATTGCCTCTCGACCTTCATTGCCACATGTAACATGTCCTCGATTTCCACATAGTGTTGAAACTCTACAACATTTGCAATATCCTCGATTTCCACTGATGTAATCACATGGTAGCAAAGGATTTCCGATACCTACCAATCACGTCATGTACAAGTCCTTGCCTTGAGGTCAACAGCATGTAATACAATAATTGCATTGTGCCGAACTTGGAACTTCTCATTCTCCGCATATTCAGCCCACTCAAACCTGGAGAGTTTACTATTTTTATCGATAATCTTTTAAATTATAGGGCCTACTATTGATGTCCATCTATCAGCTAACTCTCTACGAGCTACATTCATCTTCATCAAATATAGCCTAACTTCCTCAAGCATGGTTACAATGGCCTTTTTTCTTGTACCGACAACTGTAGTGTTGAATGATCCACACAAATTGCTCAGGAGCATGTCACACTAAGTCCACTATCCGAAATGGGATTTACTTTAATGGGATGTTGGTTTTGGTTCGAGCCTACCATATGCAGCCGGATCCAAGTCCTACATCTTTTGCACGTGTTCAAGCCACTGTAGCGTAGTAGTAGCTCTGGCTGCATCCCAAAGACAATGCTTCAAAGTCAGTCCCTTATGCGAGATACTAAAATTGCTGACAGATGTCTAACATATGTCCCATGCTCGCATTCTCAAACAAAGACTCAATCACATTAATCAACCCTTTTTGCTTATCCAAAATGAATGTCTAGTGCAAACCATTGTTTATATGCAAATCATTCTTTAACAACTCCAAAATCCATCTCCAATTTTCTCCATTCTCAACCACAACAATTGCATATGCTACTGGATACATACCGTTATTAGCACCTACACCAATCGCAAACAACAACTGCCCAATTTGCTATGTCTTCAAGAAGCAACCATCTAAACCAATCACTCTTCTACATCTCCTAATAAACCCTCCTTCAAAGCTCCGAGGAAAATATACAACTGTTTGAATTCTCTTTCACAACCCTCAACTAAAGCAATGGTCCCAATATTTGTCCGCATCAACTCCTTGTAGTAATCTTAAAGTACTTTGTAATGGTCCACCACAATCCCGCTTATCTTTTCAAGTGTTTTCACCTTTGTTCTTTACACTTGCCAATGTGATATCTCATCCAAATCATCCATTTTCACACTCTCAATCTCAAAGTATCATCTTTCTTTTATTTAATCTCTTTATTGCTTCTAACTGAATGTGAAGTGATGGCAGCCATCAACAAAAACTTGGACTCAAATACCAACCCTAACAATTTGAAAATAGAATCATATTAATCATCCATAGAAAATGGGTTAAAAGTAAGGTAAACAATGTGCTGAAGTTACCTTGTCTGAACTTTGGATCCTCCATGTCAGTCCTTGAATTGAAAGCTTCAGTCGAAACCTTTGTTCATGAAGTTGTATCATCATCATCTATACTATTAATGCTTTGTAACTCGTCGGAGTCCTCATAATCGGTATTTGAACCCCTAACCGGATGCTCATCGGCCACATCGAATCCAAAATCAAAACTAACCCTATCATTCTCAGTATTAGCATTGAAAGCTGTTCCTCCATCTCATAATCATATTTCACTAAACCTTCAACCTCATCTCCTCTTCTTTATTCGTCGTCATTATGAGCTTTAACCCCTACTTCATCATTTTCAGCACTCATATCACTTACATTTGATCTTCTTCATAATGGAAATGGAGGGTTTCCTCATAATGTAACCACAACTCTTTAGCATTTTCAAGGAAAAACTGATTTGACTAATCAATTTCAAGCTCTCCGTGGTCGTTTTATTCCACAGAAGGTACGTAGCAACCTTCAAATGTTTGTGGTTCAACGCACCATGCATGCAATTGCAATGAGGCCACAATATATATCCACACTACTGGATGCTCATCTCTATCTCGAAGCATCTCTTTAATATCTTTCCCACTCTCCAATCTAGTCAACCCTTTCCCTTTACTTATTTTTCATTTTTTTATAGTAGAACTCCAACGTCAAATCATTACCAACCGCATTTAAGAGCTTTTTCAAATTACCTTTTGTAAACAATAAGGCATTGAAGAAATCGAAGAAAAGCACAAATCCATATTTGTATGCCAGATTGTTTGGCTTAGCGTAGAAGTGGCCTCCGTGATGCGATTCAACGGTGAAGTAGCCTAAATTTGCACCTGCATGCAAAATAATATGGAGATGGGGGAATGAATAGTGAAATGTCGTATTCAAATGAAGAAATGCACACTGATCAACTCAGGGAAATAATGGATTGCACATCGTATAATGCTCAAAACCTAACCAAAACCACAGAAATTTCAACTCGCAACTAATGTTATGTAATTTCAGAGGAATACCTAGAAACCCCCAAAAATTTAACAAACAATATTGAAGGTCTTTTCTCATTTCTCATTCTAATCAAGTTCCAATTTTTAATTCCACATAGCAACAAAACTAATGAATGAAAAACAATGATCATGAATGGATAGCATCATATCGAATGTGGGTGTCTTGTCATCGGCCTCTCTAATAAACGGAGGAAGCATTTTGATTCGACACAAAATCTTGTGAAAAACAACAATAAATTTCATTAAAAGTAGCAAGGAAGCCTCGATCACTCAAAGCTTAAAATGTCGAGCATTAAAATAAAAAATAATGGACTCACAGTGAAATAATACCTTCTTTCAGTTTGTTCTCTCCATTGCGTGCAGAGAGTAGCCCAATACGAAAATATAAAGTTTAGATGAAAGGAGAATGGGATGAAGAAAATAGGTGTGCGCGGGAGATGTAAACAGCAGAGAAGATGGAAGATGAACATTGCTTGTATTATGGGGAAGAAGAGGTTTTTGAAGTGGCTTGACTATTTTACCCCTTTAGCTTAAAAGTAAAAGTGAGTCCAGTTGTACATTTAATGGTCGCACTCATAACAGGTAGATGGAAGGACATTTTTCATAATGAAACATTGAAATGAGGGTTAAAATGCAAAAAATTAAAACGTATAAACATTTTGCACACTAACAATCAAACAGACATTTTTTGTTAATAAGCCGAATTTAAATGATCAAAACGTCCACTTGATAGCATTTTTATTACAATTTAAGAGAGTGTTTGGTGGAGATTTTGAGAATTGATCTTTTGACTGTTAGAGATAAAAGTGGGTCATATCTGTAAGAGAATAATTGAAAAATGACGATTGAAATAATGAAATAACTGTCAAAAATTTGATTTTAATTGACTTAAAATTTTACCAAACAAGCTCTAAACCCCAAAATATTTTCAGCTTGTTTGGTAGAGATTTTTTGGCTCAAAAAATTGATTTTTTGATCGTTATTTTATTATTTTAGCTGTCATATTTATTTTTTTCTCTCATAAGTGGACTTCATTTTTCTTCTAACGATCAAAAAATCAATTATCAAAATAACTCTCAAACAGGCTCTTTCTAGTAGATTCTCTCGACATGGCTTTCAGCTACATTTTTGTTCTCTATCCAGTCACAATACCACAAAAGCCATGTCACGCGCACCATAATCACGCGCTAAAAATCAATTAAAGAAAAAAAATCAATTTTTTAATTGCGGAAAAAAATTACAGAGACGAAAAGGGGAAAAATAGAAAGAAATAAAAAATCAATCTTTAATTTTGAGAGCGGAAGACAGAAAATGAAAAGAAGAGAAAAGAAAAGGAAAAACAAAGGCCCTTTCTCTCTCTCTATGCAGTTCTGTATGCATCAAAATATACATACATAAGCAAAAGACCAAGAGTTATATTTGAGAATCGAATCGATCGGTGCCCGCAAAACGTATTGATTCTTCAATACTCGTTAAGAGGACATTTTTCTGGTTATCGTGGCGATATATAGATATAGGAAGGGTTTGTATAGGTAGGCGATCAAGTGGGCTTGAATTAGGGTATATGATCGTGGGAATTTGAGAGAATTTGAGGGGAATTCCTTGGTGGTTTTTGGGAGTAGTTTATTTGGAGTTAGATTCTTGGATTAAGAATTGTCATGTTAGATTTTAGGATAGAAGGTGGATTAGGGTTTTGGGAATTTTGAGGTTGGAGTTTAGGCTTAGGGTTTCTTTCCGAGATGGAAGGTTGGGGAAGTGGCCCCAGGATGATTCAAGACCCCGAACTCGAAGAAGGAGAGGCTTGCTATCACAAGGATGATACAAGCATTGACCCTGATGTTGCTTTCTCTTACCTTGTAAGAGTCTCTCTTTTGTTCTTGATTTTTTTCCGTGGACAAAAATTAAAATTTCATAATTTTTATTTTTTAACTCGTGAACTAATAATTTTCCACATATTTGGTCTTCCAATAAAAAGAAAGATGAATAGTAAAGACAGGGAATTTGAATTGATTAAACTGAACTACATGGTTTGATAGCTTGAATTTGTGTTGAAAAATGCTTAATCTAAGTATAATTGGGGTGAGGAAGCGAGTGCTGATTGGATATGGTCATTGAACATCTGAGAGAAAATAAAATGCTTTCAGCCTGAATTGCAGTTATTGAATGTACCTGGGTTTTTATGAAGTGCAAATGTTTTGGCAGGTTATTTATAAAATCGAATTAACAATGGCTTGCTGTTGAGAGTGTTAACTTGGGCGGCGTAAAACAATCAAACTTAGCAATTTGTTAACCTTATAATGTAATATAAATTTTATGGAGAATAAAATATTATCATAAGTTAATCACAAGACTCACAATTTTAATTTTTGGTGGTGGTTGCTAGCAGCATCGCAGTTAGTCAAATGGATTTCAGAGTGCAGTTTGGAGCTAACTTATTGTTGTTACAAAATGGTTGCTTTTTATATCTTTTGCAGTTAGCATAAGCCAGATAATTGTTAAATGAATGCATAACGTAGTTGTGTAGTGTCGTATGTACCCGTTGACGCTCTTGTAGCTTGAATTTTATGGCTAGTTGTTTTTTACATTTTTTATATCAAGACTTTAGTAACTGTTGGATTTCTGTTTACTAAGGACGACAAGGTTCAAAGTATTTTGGGACATTTTCAGAAAGACTTTGAAGGAGGAGTTTCTGCTGAAAATTTGGGTAAGTGAACCTACAATGGGAGTCTCGGAAGGAAAAGGGTGGTATTATCATACTTTTCTTATTTGGAAAATTATAGCCTGAATTTTTTTTTTATTCTGGCAGGTGCAAAATTTGGTGGGTATGGTTCGTTCTTACCAACATACCAACGTTCTCCTGCTGTTTGGTCTCAGCCAAAATCTCCACTAGGAGTTCAAAAACCCAGTACGCCAAGATCTCCAAATTGTCTTCCTAAGGAGGTATATGGACAAAACATATTCTTATCTGCAGCCTGCAGGTCATATGGCAGTATGAGAAATATTCTGCTGCATGTTTGCCACTTTAGGAAATTCTCATGTACTTAGCTTCCTCGGTTGTGTTACCATACAGGGTATCCCCCATTATTCTGGGGTGCTCCCAAATGCGGCTTTTTCTCATAGGAATGGTGCTAATGCTTCCCCTGCGATACATCCTTTACAAAATTCAAAGGCCCCATCAGTCGATGGCTCAGTCAGACAAGATGCTATCTCGTCTGATCAAGTTGCCGAGTCTTGTCCGACTGAAACTGGATTTCCTTCAAGTAAATCAAACAATCAAACTGACCAAAGAAAATTAAAGGTTCGTATCAAAGTGGGTTCTGACAGGACTACACAAAGGAATGTCGCAATCTACAGTGGTCTGGGGCTTATATCTCCATCTTCCTCAGCGGGAAACAGTACTGAGGAAAGTGGTGGAATTTCGTGTGAACCTCATGAGATTCCTGATGAATCTCCCTCCAGAATCCTCGAGGTATGTTTTCTTTTGTTTTTTCGTAGATGACTAACACCATCTGATGCTTCCCAATTAATCCAGACATTTTTAGATTAATTTCCTCACCCCCTAGCTCCTATACAAGCCATTTCAGGTTAAGTAAATACTTCTGAAAAACAAAGAAATGACTTTTACTCATTATAGACCTCTCACCCTGAGAGGCTGAGACAAGGAGCAACTTTGAAAGACAAAGGAGAATTAAGTGTGAAAATTTTTCTCCATCTAGTTGCAAATTTATATTGCATATGCGGCTTCATATGCTTTCTAACTTTGAAACAATACCACATCTGTTCTCGACCCAAAATTTTTTTTGTTGATTATTAAATTTCTTATTACATCGCACGTGTAGAAGTCGATATCTTATGTTTCTTTTTTTTTCTCTCTGTTCTCTATATGCTTTGGAACAGCTAATGATTTCGTTCCCAGTTTCTGGAGTTTTGCTTTCACCTCTGCATGAAGATTTGCGCAACTTAAGAAGAGAGAGAAGTTCTTCAGTAGATAGTGAGCCTGCAGCGGCCTTCAAGGGTGCGCACAATCACTCTGTTGTACCTGTTTATGATACAAATCCTAGGCTTGGGAATGGGGATGTTTTGAGAGGGAAGAAAACCAAATCTGTTGAGAAGAGAGCAAAATTTGAGAAATCAAAAAAGGAACCTGGAATGGATATTAAAGAAGATAAGAAAAATTTGGGAACTGAGACTCTGGAATGCAGGCTGCAGTCATCTGATGAAACAAATTGCAAGCCTATATCAGATTCAGACTGCAGTGCTGGTGAGTCTTTGAAAGGTGTTGTTAGGACACCTGAAACTATCAGGGAGTTTGGAAGGGATGTCCTAGTGAGGAAGATGGAGGACAATAAGGATATTGTGAAAGGAAGAATAGGATCAGCTGATGTGGTCAAGGCAGAATCCTTCGAATCAATATCTGGCCACAGTGGTGGTAAGTATGACTACCAGGAGCCCAAAAATAGATCTGCAGAGAAGGTTGGGAAACATCTAAGAAGTTATCAGAAGGATGGCTCAGTTTATCATGGGGATGGTGCCAGGAGCAGAGGTAAGAAAATTCCTGCTTCATTTAAAGTCAATTCTGATATTTCTGAAGGTGAGACGGTTTCCAGAGGAGCTATGGATCCTTTGAGTCAGAAATGTAGTCTGAAATCTACACCTGGAGAACATGATGAATGGAGGATGTCTCCTGCCGTAAATAAGCTATCATTGGAAGGTAAAAAGAAGTTGAAGGGGAGCAACAATGGTGTCAAACTAGATTCAAATTTAGCTGAGGAAAATTTGAGTAGTGTTTCCTCTGCTACAAAAAACAAGTTGACTGTGAAAAAGGATTCCTGTAAGGTCCATAACAGACATAAAGATGTGGTTGACACAAGATCAGAACATTTGAATATCATGAAGCAATCACTAGAGAGGCCTTCCGATGATGGGTTAAAGAACTCTAATCTTGAGACTGTCAAGGAAAAGCGTGCATCTGCTGATAAAAACAAAGAGAGAGCAACTAGTAAAAAGCTAAATAACCAGGTAAATTCTGGAACAAATTTGGAGGAGCCCCCAGTTGATGCCCTACCTCCCGCCAAAGGACTCATTCCCGAGACTGAACAGACCTCCGTCGCTGGTGTTCTCATAGAAGAACATTGGGTCGCTTGTGACAGGTGTCAGAAGTGGCGTCTTTTGCCAATTGGTACAGTGCCCCAGAATCTGCCTGATAAGTGGGTTTGCAGCATGCTAAACTGGCTGTAAGTGCTTTCCTAGTGCACTTTGAGAACTTTGTTGGTTATAAAGTCGATATGTTTGTTCGACAATTTGATTTCATTGGGCAAGTTTTGACACCCTCTGTTTGAAAATGAATGTCATTCGACACTATTTCTATCACTTGACTTCTTGCAGGAGCAATGTTTCGTGTTAGCATGCTATAGCAATGCTTGACACAAGAAGACACGATATTATTTAACTTGTGTAGAACTAAGCTAAAACTACAATTACTTTGACGCTTCAGTTTTTTCTATTATCAACCATATGCACATTGTTTTATCGCATCTTTTATACTTTTGTAATAATTTTCTGAATAGTATATCCATAATGCCTTTTGACTAATTCTGGGGTCCTAAAAGTTAGCAACTCGCACATGACGCATAGATCCACACTCCACGAGTCTGTGTTATTAAGATTCTGCTTAATTTCCTTTTTTTATGGATTTGTTTGGTTCGTTCCATCAAATATATGCATGTACGAATAAACTTTGAACTGCTGAAGCCTAAGCTTGATAAGATTTTGGATTATCCTCAGGCCAGGTTTGAACCGTTGTGACATCAGCCAAGATGAGACAACAAAAGCTCTTTATGCTTTATACCAGGTTCCTTTCCCTGATAGTCAAAGTAATATTCAAACTCATGCTGACAAAACTACAAATAGAGTGGCTTCAGGTGGTGGCCATCGTTTAGATCAGAACCAGCAAAACTTCGATTCTGACCAAATCGCTGATAAGGGAAAGAAGAAACAGAAATTTAAAGAAGCAGCAAACACTGACGGTATCAGCGATCCAATTCCTTCTTCAAACTTAAACAAAAACTTCCAACCGCATTCAGTGAAAAACAGAAGTCTAAAGGAGGGCAATCAGCCTCAAGCCGCACCTAATCTAATTAACAAATCTAATGTACAATATCAGAATAAGTCATCAGCTGTCATGACAAAATCATTGAATAAACGAAAAGACGAGCATTTAGTCGGAGGTATGTTATTTATTCTGGCTGGCATCTCAAACCCTTCATTTTTTTATTTATCAATGTTTAATATGTTTTCTGATATAATATCCTCGCAGATGATGCAAATCCCAGGAAGAAAAGCAAGAGGGAGTCTGATCAGCATGTACATGCAAATGTGAAAAAGATTAAACCTGCAGTGGATTTGGATGACTTTCAGACATCTGGTGGGGATCTTGGTAGAGTTGGCCACAGTTCGTCTTCTGGTTTGCCAAACAAGGCGACTTTGAAGGATAAGAAAAAACTGAGGATACTTGATTCAAGATCTGAGGGGAGAGAAAAATTACAAATTTCTGGGAAAAAACAGAAAGATAATGTGCAGGAATTACCCGATAATGGGTGCCTGGATATTAATGCATCCAATAAAAGTGAAATTTCTTCAAAGAAGAGAGAATTGAAGGATTCTCAAGGTAGTCAGGATTATCTACAGACACTGCAAAGAAATGGAAGTGACCTTCAAAACAGCAAGGTACCTGTAAAAGAGGAGAGCAGCAATAGTGGATTTCATAGAGAGAAGAAGTCCAGGGTTTCTCAGATTGATGGGAAGGAGTTCAGAAAAAGTAAGGATAATGATATAATACCAAAAAGAAAAGTTTCTGGGAATAAAGAAATTCCATATGTCAGGAGTATTGAGAAAGAACGGCAGGTAAGAAAATACAGAGCAAAGTTTCCTGTGCAGCTAACCATGGATGATATAGAATCACTGCGGAAGGATTTGGGATCGGAACCCTTATCAATGGCTGCCACTTCAAGCTCCTCTAAGGTTTCGGATTCTCGTAAAACCAGAAGGAATTGCAAAGAAGTCAAAGGGTCACCTGAAGAGTCAGTTTCCTCATCTCCAATGAGGATCTCTTATCTGAATAAGGTTTTACCAGCGAGGAAGGAGACTACAGAGAGAGCAGATTCTAGGCTCAATGACTTCTCCACAATGGGAAGCTCAATAAAATCTCTGGATAGGAATGGAAATTTCGAGAGCAATCATTTGGGGACAGCCAGGAAGGGAAAAGCTACCAGTGGTCTTCCTGAGTCTTTTGAACATCCTGTGCTACATGTTCGGGACAGTGACACTAGAGACAAATTCAGTGGCAAATATGAATCAGGCACTAATCCGGCCTCTGAATATGGCAATGGCTCTTTTGATTGTAACAATGGTGATATACTGGACCAACATAGCCTATGTCCCACCAGTATGCGTGTTTCAGAGCACAGCCATGGCAAGGAGAGGATGAACAAGAACAGTTCTAATATTATGTTATCTCAACAGATATCTAAAAGTGGTACTTCGTTGCTGCCCATGGATAAGGATAGAACATCTTTTGTTAATTTTGAGAGAGTGGCAGAGAGGGTTTCCAGTCCACAGATCGACCATGAACACTTGAATACAAATAAAAATTTGAAAGAAGAGGCATTTATTGATCACAACTTTCGAGGTGATAAACAAGAAACATTGCGTCCTAGCAAATCAGTGCCAGGATCTCTGGAAGTAAGTTTTACAGATTTAAGACCAATTGATACTTCTGTAGTTGGTGATTTATTAAAGGTTTCAGAAGAGCCAGCTAATACTTGTCATCAGCATGGAACTAGTAACTTCAATGGCCATAATGTGGCTGATGGGGCTGTGAGTCGACATCTTAGTTCTGTTAGCCTTGCTAGCAAGAATTCCTCTAGTCTGACTCCAACTAGTGTTCTGAAAGAAGCTGAAAATCTCAGAGATTATGCTGATCGTCTCAAGGTCTTTTCACATTGCTCCTTATTCTGTGTGCATTTTTTTTTCCTTCTATTAAAGCTTTAATAACTGGATTTTTTTTGTATCTCAAGGCTTTTTATATAATATTGTGCAGGACTCTGGATTTCCTTTTGAAAGTAATGAGGCATACTTCGAAGCTGCTTTAAAATTTCTTCATGGTGCTTCACTTTTAGAGGCGTGCAATGGTGAAACTAGCAAGTACGGGGAGATGAATCAAATGCAGATATATAGAAGTACTGCCAAACTTTGCGAGTGAGTGCCCTATAGCACTGTAATAGTTCATGTGCGGTTTCAGGATAAAATGTTGTTCCCCAATGATATTAGTATTGTTTGATCAACTGGTGCTTAGATGAAAATTGATTTTTAATACTTGACTTGCTCACGTCTTGAGGGTTCTGAGTGGCCACTACAGAATATTTTCCTTGGAAAAACAAAATTAATGTGATTTTACCTATCGTTTTTTCGGTTAAAGAATTGTATGGTCTGAACATCTTTTGGGCATGATTGTAAAATTAGTCTGAAATTCTGCAGTAGGTAAGAGGCTTTTTTAAACACACAGTCCTCTGTCGCTTTCATTATGAACTTTACACACCTTGCAGAACCTGTGCCCATGAATATGAAAAACGCCAAGAAATGGCTGCTTGCGCACTGGCATACAAATGCATGGAGGTGGCTTACATGAGGGTAGTTTATTGCAAAAATTCGAGCACATACAGATTTTTGCCTGATCTGCAAGCAACTTTGCCATCGGCTCTGCAAGGTATGATCATATCGTATCATGTGAAGGCAAGTTATTATTTCCATGGTTTGTCATCTTCTTTTGTTGTACTTTTATCAACACATGACTTGAGGATTTTGCTTAAATCCCTAATCTATTGCTCCTTAACAGCACTATTTTCCTGGCTTAGTTGGCCATCACTTTCAAGAGAAGAATGCTCTCTCTCCCCTCCTCCTCCCACCCTTCCATCTTCAGATTATTGATGCACGATGTTGATCATACTATACATCTAATTTTGTTTCCTTTGATAAAATTCATCCATAACTACACGGAGCATGTGCATTTCCTCCCTTGTGCAATTTCATTGATTTTTTTTCCCTTGCATTGCCTGATTTGTTGAAACTATTCTAAATGGCTGTTTTTGATGTCGTATGTAGGTGAATCTCCATCATCTTCTGCATCTGACATTGATAACTTGAACAATTTAATGGTCGATAAAGCTGTTTTGTCTAAAGGCAATGGTTCTCAAGTTGGGAATCATGCTATAGTGCCTCGAAACCGCCCCAACCTTATTCGGCTACTCGACTTCGTAAGTGGATGTTGATGTTTAAGATATTTGCCTCTTTTTTGCAATGCTTACTGGCATTTGATTTGAACAATGTGAGTAGCATATAAACTTTGGATGAAGTCAACTGAAAAAAGAATTTGCAGAGGTACTTATGTTCAATCATTTGATTATGTGTCGTCGTGTTTTCAAGTGGCCTTTACTGATAGATGCACAGACAGTTTTGTTTTCCGTTGCTGGTGACAGATTTTGTGTTCTCTAGGATTACCGATTGATCTGGACTTCCATTGTATGTTTTGATGCCAGTATGTTTTTATGAAATCTTACAATGAGGTAAGCATCTCAAATTTGCTCTCTTGCAGGCAACAGATGTGAATTCTGCAATGGAGGCCTCCACAAAATCCCAGAATGCTTTTGCAGCTGCTAATGTGAACCTAGAAGATGCTCAGGATAAAGATGGTATCGTCTCTGTTAAGAGGGTCCTTGACTTCAGCTTTCAGAATGTAGAGGAACTTGTATATTTGGTACGGCTTGCATTTAAGGCCGTCAATCGCCAAGGTTTCAATGGAAATAGAGAGTAGGCAACTGTATATAGTTGTGTTTCACTAGCATATTTTCTGTGTGAGCTGGGCTTTGGATACAAGTTGGAAGTGTGTTTGCACTTGCTGTCTGGTGAAGAAACATAACATTAACCGCCTGTTGCGTTTCTGGACATGTGTACAAACATGGTATTGGTTCGTCATTATATGATATATTTTTGAATGTTCAGCTTCTTTAGCCCACACGCTCAAAATTTAGATTCAACCACGTGGACATTGCAAGCATGAAGTTTTTACATGTTCAAGGACAAGACTTGGAGTAAATGTAAAAGTGCAGTTTTGATTTTAGGGTTCTATTTTTTGGGGGGAGTATTATAGAAATCTAGAACAATTAGTGATATTTGAGGTTGAGTTGCAATGTAGTCATGACTGGTCCAATCATATTAAGGACTTGCTATTTCTTTCCCATCTACTTTTATCAATTTTCCCAATATAATTAAAAGAAAGTTTTGAAGGTGTCTGATTCAATTGTAAATAAATGTTGCACCTTCTGTTTCTCTCTTTTGTATATAGACATAAATTCATATATTAAATTGCATCTTTCTACAGGCCATGTGGTCTTTGAGGGGTAATCTTATCTAATTCCTGTTATTCACTTTGCGAATTGCATATTTTATGCCTGTGTTTCTGCTGATAGACTTTATTATGCTTGATTGGTGTGGACCTTCTATGGCAATACAAGAGGTGCAGACTAGGTCAAAGGAACTTAATCTGCAAGATCCTGAAATTTGCTGTATTCTGCAACAATCCACTCCAGCATTTTTTGAGATTGAGAAATTAAAGAGTATGGTCAGTTTGTAAGAATTTAATGCAGTTTGATTCTTTTCCCTTCTTTTTTACGCTGTTATTATGATGTTGATATTAAACATCATTTACTTTTGCTTGTAAATTCAGATGGTAGAGAAGTTTGTGTTTGATGAATGAGGTTCATAAAAGCAAGTATTAGTAGATGGTTCAACAGACATCATTTACTTTTGCTTGTAAATACAGATGACAGGGAAGTTCGTGTTTGATAATTGAGGTTCATAAAGCAAGTATTAAAGTATGTTTCGTAATGCTTTTTGTAGATTATAGGTTATGGGTACTACAGAATATGTAAATAAAAGTTGTGGATCCTATGAAATGTATGGATAAAAATAATATTTGACCAGCTTATAAGTTTGAAAAAGCTATAGCAAACAAGCACTAAACTTTTGTTTGGGAGAGATTTTTCCAAGTGAATTTTTTTTTTTTTTTTTGGTAAACATGTTAAAAAGCAGAGAGAAGTTTTGGGTTGCATAAGATGTGGTTGGAAAAGATTTACGGGAAAATGATTATATAAAAGTCTCTCCAAAACAAACCCTTAGTAAATGGTTCACCATAATGGCGCTTGCTATATTTCTGAATATGACGTGCTGAAGATTACAAGGTAAGGCTTCGGTCTCTTTTTTATCATGAGAAACTTGTGGTGATACTGATAGCTCTTAACCCCATTATGGTTTCATTATTGTTTTACACTGTTGGACTGTTGGCATTATCTGCAGTAAGAAGCTGATACTTCCATTCTCAGAAGTGGCCTCATGTGCTGTAAATGCTAGATCAATCGACGATCGAACTAGTTTTTCTTGCTTCCAATTTATTTCAAGTTTAAGAATCATCTTGGTTGTTAATAAGCATGACATCTTCACTGTGGTCTGAAAGTGCTTGGTGGAATTAAAATATGGTTTATAACTAATTTTTTTTATTTTTTATTGTTCTTCTTGCAGTTAATTACCCTTAATGTGCTTCTTAAGAGCATCTCTAATGCTTCTATCCGAGCTTATATTCAGTACCTTTTGGCAGTTAGAAATGAGGAGTTCCTTGAGTGTTTGCTTGGATTTGCTGGCCCGCTATTTCCTAATCTGAAGGAGGAATAGAATGAGGGCCATAGTGATTCACTCCTCCATCACTCACGTCAAGAAGATGTTAGCTGGGGGGAATATCAATAAGAACGTACTATTAAAAGAAAGAAATACACAGATGCTGTCTTGTTTATGAAGCAATACTTTTAGTTTTCTGGAGCCTTCTGTAGAAGCACGAAACTCCCCTTTCTGAATGGGCAACCCTTCTTCCCAGGTGATGCTGAATTCATTTCCAAAGAAGAAAAACAATTCATTTACATTTTTTGATTTGCTGCATCTTTTGTGTTCTTGCTGGGGCTTGGGATGCAAGCTTCGAGCAGTTGAGCCGTGCACTCTCTAGTCTTTCCCTTTCTAGGTTTTTTTGACCAGCCAAGACATTATGTTCTTTTTGGTTATCCAGAATGCTTCTAAAGCTCAATTGGAACTTTTGATTATTTACCCCTTACCTTTTTCAGTTCAATGTGATGGATTTCAAAACGCTGAAATCATCGTAGGGCCACTTCCGCAATCCCTCGTATCGGAAAGGAAACACCCTCAAAATTCCCAAAACCCTAATCCTCCCCTATCTTAAAATCCAACATGACACTTTGAATCCAAGAATCCAACTTCAACCCAATGAACTACTACCAAAATACAGAAACTTGCTTCTCAAGTCGTCTTAGAGTTAATTGTTCCAATGGTCACTGAACTTAGGTTCATGTCTTTGATTGGTCATTGAAGTTTAAAATGTCGAGTTTTGGCCATTGAACTTAAGTAAATGTCTTCGATTGCTCACTGAACTTATGTTCATATCTTTGATTGGTCAATAAAGTTTAAACTGTCGAGTTTTGGCTACTGAACTTTGAAAAATGTCGAGTTTTGGTCATTGAACTTAGGTCCATGTTTTCGATTGCTCACTGAAGTTTAAAATGTCGAGTTTTGGCCACTGAACTTTGAAAAATGTCGAGTTTTGACCACTAAACTTTGAAATATGTCATACGTTACTCATTAGTATAGCTGTTGAATTTTGAAAAATATCGAGTTTACATTGAGTAATGTACAGCATTTTTCCAAGTTCGATAGTAATGTAAAATATTTTTCAAAGTTCAGTGAGTAATTTGCAACATTTTTCAAAGTTCGGTGGCCAAAACTCGATATTTTAAATTTCAGTGAGCAATCGAAGACATGGATCTAAGTTGTGACCAAAACTCGACATTTTTTAAAGTTCAGTGGCCAAAACTCGACATTTTAAACTTTAGTGAGCAATCGAAGACATGAATCTAAGTTTAGTGACTAAAACTCGACATTTTAAATTTCAGTGATCAATAAAAAAAATGGACCTAAGTTCAGTGACCAATAGAACAATTAACTCCATCTTGAACGTGGTCCTAAAATGCTTGTTGGGATGAAGAATATATATTGTAATGTTCTTTCTGGATTTAATGTCTGTGAAATGTAATGTGAATTTGTTTTTCGCTCATTTCTGATTTCTTGCATGTGGGGATGAAATGCAGTTAACCTGTGTCCTCAAGGGTACATACATTAGGAGCAGTAAAAGCTTACTGTTTTAAGTCCTCGACTCGAATAGCTGTGCATTCCCCAGTCTTCTAGTGTTCTAAAACTGAAAGTGTGATATTGCGCTGACTTGAGATTTACAACATGTTGCTTTAGTCTCATTCTCTGTTTTATACCATTTTGTAACTTGATACTCGATTTAACCTTTTCACACAGGTTACCCCATGTCGTTTTTGATCCACCACCTTTGGAAGGCACTTCTTTAGGGGCTCTTTTCTTCCAAGGGACAACCAAATTGTGCACATTTGTGGCTTCATACTTTTGAACCCTAATTTACCATTCATAATGAATACAAACGGCTGTTTTAAATACAGAATTGCAAATGAACCTCAACGTGCCTAGTCGCTTCTACTGAATTTTTGAAACTCGATGTATAGAATTTGGGATATGCATACGAAATGGATTCAATAAATTGGTGGCAACTAATTTTAATACTATTTCTTTCCAATTAGTAAAAAGATTTTTTAAAATAACTTTATTAGTAAAATAAGATACCATCCATTGAGTAAAATGGGAGAGTTGACGAGTAGTTGCATTATTCCGTACGGTTGTCAATAAAAAGATTACATTGCATTTTACGGTAGATGGAACAATGAACAAGAGACGAAAGTGATTTATGTAGTTTGACTTTTTGTTATATTTGAGAGAGAGAATAAGCGGAGCAAAGTACCTACCCATCTCTAAACTGGGCTTACTTTGGCTTTAGAGTTTGGTCATGTCCTTACCCAATGGAAAGCCAACCTAACAACAAAAGTCAAGTATCCAATGCAAAAACACATGAGAACTGGCTGGCATTATGAATACGAAAAGAGAAGCTGAATTCTTCAACCGAGAAGAACTGGTTAAATTACATCTTTTTCCAATCCCCAACTGAATTTAAGGTGAAATCTTAAGCCCCCGCGTCTACTATATCGTTAAAAAGGTCAATCAGAACATTCGACAACATTTACAGTAATTTTCAAGGTTGATGAATATGCAGTTCCTCTCGCAATGATTCAATTGGATTATCCAATGTCCGAATCATGCCAAGTATTTGAATAAGTTTGCATTATCTTTGTCTCTTTCCAGATAGTCCCTACTAATCAAATCTTCAATCCTCTTTTTGATTGCTTTAACGTCAGGCTGTGGCGAGCACAATCACATTGTAACAATAGTCAGTTATATAGGAAAAGCATGTTTGGCTGAGCTTAAAATTACTCTTCGATAAATTTTTGTTTCCAAACATTTTTGCACGAGTTAATGTGTTTTATAGAACAAAATACTTTTTGGACTGAGTTGGGGGGTTACTTTCGAAGTAAGTAAATTCAAAGCTTTGATGGGCAAAAATTAATATTTATTATAAACTTCCCCATAGACTTGCAGTTAGTTATTTTAAAGCTAAGCCAAACATGCACGTGAAGTAGGAGAAGCAAACATCTGAAGCGTACCTTGAACATTCGCCCCAGCTGCTCGGCACACTCCATAACCAACTGCTGATAGCCCAAGACTTTTCTACTTTTCATGATACGTACAATTGAAGCATCAATAGCATATCTTCTGTCCTTGTCAACATCTTCGATTACTTTCTTCTTCTCATCGACAGGAGGGAGAGGGATCTGTAATTTTCATTGAAACTCTTAACGATACGAATACAAGGATAGGATTGACAATATTAGATTAATCTGAATTCTTATTTTTTTCCCCTTCTTTTTCTCATCAACTTAGTTCAACTTAAGTCTTGTCGGATTTGTTTGTGTGTGTTGCAGTTCATTTGTTTCCTTTTATGTGCACATGGTAACTGTGAAGGTAGGTTTTGGGTAGGGGGAGGGAATTACCTTGATTCTTCTCATTTTATCTGTAAACTTTGAATTGAACTCAAAAACGTCAGTTGGAGATATCGTCTTGGTGTTTGGCTCCTTGTTAAGAATCTTATACTTTGCACACGAAAGCGAATGGAGCAGCCTAACAACATCATCATCTGACAAGTTCAACTGACTCATGATTTCCTGGTAACTCAGCCTATCTGAGGCATTGAATAGCAGTAGGGCAGCAGCCTAAAAACACGAAAGACAAAATCTTCAATCAACATTATATCAACCACACAGATTATGTGTAAATAAAACATTAGGCTGTCGTCAAT